CGATAAGAGTAACTCAAATTAAAGTGTAGAATGTGTTATACTAGTGTCATTTTAATGTCTTCTCACCAGGAAAGTCCTTGAAGGGGGGAGAAGAAGCAAAGAATGTGTGATGCTGGTGAGTTTGCAATGTTTTTTTTTGTTGTTGTTTTTTTTACAAAAATGTGCTTTATATTGGTTGTACAGCACAACTTAAATGTAATGATAAATATAATGTGTACTGTAGTCAACAGTACACTCCAGTCTGAATGTGCTTTGGTGGTGTAAAACTGGTCATACAGTCAAAATCCAAAAAAAAAATACTGGTTGGATATTCCTGCTTTGGAGAATATCATCTTTAAAATTATTGATGTGTTGTAAAAATAATTGTTTCTGATGTGAATCAATTGATTGTGGAATAATGATACTTCAGAAGTTAGCATCTTTCCTGTACTTGGAAAAAATACATTTCCGATATTTTTAGACAGAAAGATGGGCAAATTAAAAAAAGAAGAGTTTGAGAATGCTTTAGTGTAAATCCAATCTAACAAAAAGAGTACAAATCTGACTGGAACACCTGCCAAAGGGTTTCCAAACACCAACGAGTAATCAGGAAAAAATTGAAAGTCCTTTCCATTCAGCTGGCTAAGATACAGCAGACACCTAATAAAACACACATTACTCACATACAAGTAAGAAGAGAGACGTGTCGATTTATGTATGTTTTTGTCTGCATTCACATATATGACCACATGTGGTGGTGACCAACAGGACTCACGGCGCTCCCTCGAACCCACACCCATCACCTGCTGTCACTTATAGCACACACACCGACCACTTCATGGTGCTACACTGAGTTTAGGAGACATTCTTTGCCCTCGAGCAACTCAAAACACACACTTTACATTCCAGCGAGTGTATTCTGGGTTCCCACTCCCTAATCCTTCAACATATGGAGAAGACACATAAGCATACCATTGCACGAGTGTGCACACGGACTGAAAACGGCATGCCGATGGGCTTCTATTTTAATCAAAAATCTACAACTTCGACATTTTTGCTTCATCTATAACCAGAGTTGTCCCATTGCACATCACATTTTACTTTCCCCATATTTACCTAAAGGGCCTCAGTGTCAGGTAAAAACAAACACCCTGGGGTCACGATTCACCGCGGCTGCTTATGTTAGTCTTAAAACTGTCCTCTTATCCTAGTCAAGGCATATAACTGTCTGGCTTTTGCTCCTACTTTGGCTTTGAAGTACAAGAAAAAACCCTCACAGAACCACAGGAGGGATCACCTCATGAAAATATGAGCTCTGATTGTGAACACTAGCTCCACAAAGGTGTATATGTCTCACAAGCATCTGTTGTTTCACTCACAGGCCTCCCTAATGAACTTGCAGACAGGGAAAGTAAACTTGCGGTGTATCAGGTTAAGACGATGTTGAAGTTCATCTTGTTTTTAAACTCCTATCAAGGAAAAATTATTTAAAAAAAACAGCTAAGTTTGAAATTATTTGAGTACTGTCAGGGCTGAAAGAATAAAACAAGATGGCAAGGAAGAGAAAAACTACAGTAATTTATCTTCATAAACTGTGTTCAAGTTCACAACTTTACAGCCAAAATAAGTTTGTTTACAACCTTTAAAGTTAACATTACAACAATGACAGCTTTACGTGACTTTTTACAAGTCCATCCATCCATCCATCCATCATGTTCACCCGCTTCTTCTTTTTCAGGTTGTGGGGTTCACTGGTGCCCATATCCAGCTATAATTGTGCAAGAGGCGAGGGACAGCCTGGACAGGTCTCAAGCAGGGACACAGAGACAAACAAGACAAACATTCACTCTCATTCACACCTAGGGACAATTTAGAGTTACCAATCAGACAGTCTGTGGGAGGAAACCAGAGTACCCGGAGAAAACCCATGTATGCACGGAGAGAACATGCAAACTCCACACAGAATGGCCCCCGGCTGGGAGTGGAACCGGGGCGACCTGCTCGCTGAGAGGCAGCAGCTCTGCCAAATGTGCCACCGTGCTGCCACTTTTTACAAGTTATTTCTTTAATTATATCGAGGCTTAAATAAATGGCCAAAATAAGATAAGATAGACGTTTATTGATCCCGCAGGAAATTGTTGTGCCAGAGTTTCACTACAAAGGAACATACACAAGGAATCACACAAGATATATAAAACAAAAAAACTGAGAATTTTAAAAACAACAGAGAATATAGAAATACCAGCAATTAAGTTCTAAAACAGGTCAGGTGCTAAATAAATAAATAAATACTAGAGCTACCATCAGGGATAAATGAATACTGTAGCTGCTATTGTTTTAAAATCAATTATATCTGTCTGCATTAATTGGGCTCGTAAATCAAGCTTTCTAAAGAGTTACTGAGAAAGCATCATTGGTGTCATTTTGGCTATATGCTTTAAGATCACATTAACTTTTTCATATTTCCTATAATTTTAAGAAGAGGCGCTCCCTCTCTTTGTGTACATTGAAAGTACATAGCCGAACCACTGGATGTCATTAGGTCCTACGTATATATTTGAGACCATGACAACACAAAATGAGTCGTTTCTGATGAAACTTCAGTGTAACTGGTTAAAAAAACGTGGTTAACTTATTTGTAATTAAGATATTACCCACTTATTTTCACTCATCTATCAGTTATCTTCTAGTTTTAATAGCGTGACTTCAGTAATCCCAAAGCTGAATATAAATGCAACCAATAAAAGTGCTGAATTGCTTGACTTCTCATGCATAATCTACGGTTTCAGCAACATCAGCACTTTTGTTAAATTTAAATTTATTCCTGCGTGTGTCGGCATGTTTGCTTGTTAAAGAGTATTAAAGTTCTGTCATGCATCGATAATCGTGAGGGGGTAAGGCAGTTGAACCTTCAACCACTGAGTCAGCAAAGAAGTCTGTTTCCAAAACAGAGTGACCTAAATCTCTGACCCTGGATTTTCATCTCAAGCCCTAAAGACTGCGAGAATGGTCAAAACGATGCTGTTTTTGAGACAGAAATGTGAAACTTTTCACATCTCACATGATCACAGATGTTCCAGATGTTGCATCTATACTTCACCACTGTGCCTTTATTGTGCAGGTGAACAGGTTATTTGATAAAAAAAACAAACACGTCAATTGAATCATTGTCACCAGATAAGCCTGATCATTATTTCGCAATGGTATGATAAACCCTCTTCACTGGTATACCTCACAATGGAAATGTGATGATGCTTCATATTTACTGGATTAAAACCAAACCAAGAGATAATTGCTTACAATCTGCAGTTTGGATGAGGCTGTGGGGTGGCTGCAGGGGTAGGTCATGCTGAGCAGACTGTTTCTACAGTGATGAAATGACACCACAAGCAAAACGCACAAAGAAACGTCTGAAGCTACTGGTGGATTGACTTCAATAGACCCAACAGAGCTGACTGTGTTGGCTGGATGTGGTCAGCTAATGGTCCATTTTTAATGTCTACTGACATGTTTAATGTCACATACTGACGATGACAGCCCTCATATGAGATAAGCAGAAACTCTCACTATCTGTAGCTCTGGCTTCAGTCATATAAGTGTGTAATATTATTTTATCATTTATCTTGTGGCAACAAGTCTGTTTGAGCACACATATCCAATGCAAACAGACGGATAAATTAAGGGATTAGCATTCCTTTAAGAAATGCATATGCTTGCCATCCTTTATGCTGGAATTATAGATCATTTCATGTTCACAAATTACAAAGCAACAGTTCCTTAGGGCAGATATTGAGAGTAACATTATGCTCAAGCTTATGTTCAGAGTATGTGTTGTGCATGACCTTCAGCAACTACCACACAAACTGAGTTAAAACAGTTATATTGTTAATCAGTGGCATCCATGAGTTGGATTGACTCAGTTAAAATGTACATTTAGTGATTATTTCCTGAAAATGTCATTTACAATTCATTCAGTGGTTTATAAGTATATATATATATATATATATATATTGTTTGGTAATAGACAGCAGAAACACACACGTGAGCAAAAACATTATCTCCCGTCTTCTCCTTTGGGCTGCAGGTGATAAAACACCCTGGACTGATGCATGAGTGTGTGAATAACAAAAGCTTTTGTGCTCATAGCGTGTGTGTCTCTGTTTCAATAGGTTTATATAAATATGAATTATGAAGGTCAATGAGCCAGCCTGCAGAAACTTCAACACTCATTGTCCAGTTTGTTGTATTTGTCAGTTCAGCCCAACTCAGGGAGAAATCCTCAGCCACCAACAGGCCCCAGTGCGAATAATGATGGGCCCAGTGCGTTTAGATGAATAATGATGGGGGCTTCAGGAAGATTTAAAGGGAGGCTTGCTGGTTTTCACCCAATCACTGCAGCGAACATCCAGAGAGAATGCATCATTCTGGATGTGGGTCAGCAGTTTAGAAAAACGCAGATCCTCCTGGATCAATGCAAACACACCCACTCACATACCACTCTCGCTCTCACACGCACGCACGCACACACACACTGCTAGACGTCCACTTGTCATTACGTGCACATTACAACAATAGATAGATACACTTACGGCGCGCGCGCGGACTTTCAGCACGTGCATGAACGCTCTTCTCATCTAATTGATAGTTTCCCTGCTGAAGCTGCCGCGTCATCCTGGCACCTCGCGCTGCTTCAGCGCATGCATTTATTTATTTATTTATTTGCGCACTGATGTTGGCTTCATCTGTGAATAACTTCCACCCACGTGTTGATAAAACAACTACACTGACACACGCGCACAGTTCTTCATTAGAGAGCAGTCACAATAGCCAGTCGCTGCTCTGCGCAGATGTTGGACTCGTCTGAATGAGAAGCAGCTGTTCCGTTTTTACGCACCGGAACCTCAACTTAACACATTCACACTCCACACACGCACACACGCACTTAAAAAGCAATGTCACCAGTGTGTCAATTAGCTTCTCTTCCGGCCCCCGCAGTCCCACAGTACATGTCTGCTCTTTACCTTGACAGATAGTGCATTGTCCTCCTCCCGGCGCGCTGCAGCCGCGAAGCCGGGAGCTGCAGCGTTTTCCCATTCAGCACGCGCCCGCTCATTTCTACTATCATCCACCTTTGTTCCTGTTTAACGCATCCCTCCTCTGCGTGGGTCTGACTGACTGGAAGAGGCAGAGAGAGGATCCTCTGCTGAGAACTGAGGAACCGCCTGTAAGAGTCAGCAGCGGTGGACTGACCCACTCCCGCCGTGCCTCAACACACACTCATACACACACACACACACACACACGCTGCTGAGGGAAAGGAGAGGGAGAGAGGCAACACCCCAAGGTCCTCCTCCTCCTCCTCCTCCTCCTCCTCCTCACTGATCCCGAGCAGCTGTGCCTTTTTCAAAAAGCCGCACAGAGGTCTGAGCGCGCACTGAGGCGCAGGAGTTATCATTCCATCCACAAAATGCGACAAGTCAAGCTACACTCCTAAATCTCTAAAACCACGCACGAGACAGACCATTCCACTCACCCAGCCAGAACCCTGCCGCAGTGGACGGAATTATTTTTAAAAAGAGGAAAAATAAGTTTATTTGGTCCAAAAATGTGACATACAGTCCAACAGCTCCATGGACCGTTATCTTAGAAACAAAACATGTTAATTTTTCATCAGTTTAGCTGATTGTATACATGTAAAGTCATACATTGGCCTTATGTCAATTTAAATTTTGTACCTTTTGCATTCTTGCATTTTAGAAAACCAAGTCTTTACTCCAACATTTTTCAGTCAGGTCATCAGTTTCTTTTTTTGTGCTGAAACGTTTTGCCTTCGATCCGGAAGGCTTCATCAGTCAAGGAAACACACAACACAAAACTGGTTCTTTCTCCAACAGCTTACTACAAAGTGGAACAAACCAGTTCTGCTTGTGATAAGACCTGACTGAAAAATGTTGGATTGTATACCTGGATTATTGAGCATGGGCTTTGCTGTTAATAATCTTTACTGTTCTGAAAACTGCTCATGCTTTAAAAAATGCTGCAGCTTTTTAATCTAAAAAAAATAAATGCAATGTTAACCTTCCTGCTGGACCCAAGAGGGCTCTGTTTTCAGACCTCATGGGTCATTTTGACCCAAGGGCAGATGGAGAGTTAAGATATTTGAAATTTAAAAAAAGGAAAGAAAACACTGAGGAGTGTGTCCGTCATCACTTACCCTTTCCACCTCTATATTATTTAGCTGTGAACAAATGATACATACACATTTTAATACGCACTCTGTATATTTATGGTCTATTTATTATAGTTCAGTATTTTATACTTCACTATTTTTTTTTGTTAGATTGCACTCTTAGCTCTGAATAAAATTGCATATATGTATTATAGACTCCATTTTCTATGAAAATAAAAAAAAGGTTTTGATTCTGTATTAGCATTAGTTAGCATTGAATTCATTTAAATTCTTTAATACGACATTTTATGGTAAAGTGGATGCAAAACAGTGTGTGCGACTATAACAAACTTTTGAAACCAGTAATACCAGTTCATGGGTTTTATTTACTCTGCAAACACATATTAAGCAGTTTTAAATAAATACTAATAATGTAAGGTCGTTTATCCACTGAAACGTCAGTGGTTCAGTTTTTAAAGCGTCTCTGTGTTCTTTAGATTTTCACTGAACCCAAACTGATCACACAGCACCATGGTCTGTTACTGTAACAAAGTTTTAAACTGAGTTTCTCACTGAGTGTCACTTTTTAAAAATAGTGTTAAGGATGAATATGTCAGTCAAATGTTTTCCATTTCTTATGATGAGCAGCAGTTAAAAAATAGTAATAGAAGATGTAACAATAAAGAAAAACTAGCCGTTTGGCATCTCCCAGAAAACATGTACCTTTTCTACTTTGCACAAATTTTTTTACGATCACTAAACAGAATAAATGTTGGCCAGCAGCCAAACCGTCAGTGCCTCCATCAGGATGTAATGAAGAGAAGTTAAAGGACTCCGGTGTTTGTAACAAAGTGTGTGGAGACTTTCAAAGCAATACATTGGGTATCATGTATCCTCTCTGCCCCCTCACAACATCCAGTGGTGTTTAAGTACTGAGTGGACCCCTGTGAATAGATCTGCCTGTCTGCTGGGTTGGTTCAATAAGTGAATGAAGGGTGAGAGACAGGAGACGGGGGGGAGGAGATGGAGATAATTAACACTGTCCTTTTATTAAGGAGAAATAAAGAGAGTTCTGGAAAGAGGAGAGAAAAAACCCCCAGAGAAAATAGATAACTCCCACAGAGTGACAGCAAAAAGATTCATTAACACGCTCTTTGTGAATACAAAGAGAACAAAGATGGGATTCTGCTGCTCACTCGTACCATGCAGTGCCAGGTGGGTACATAGTGTGTGTGTGTGTGGTGGTGGAGGGTCTGACTGGCATGTTGGCATGCTGAACTGCAGGTGTACGGAGCTACTGCCACCGTTGTTGCCTAGCATTGCTAATAAACAGCAACAAAAACAGTTTCTTTGTACACACCAACACATACACTCCCACATTCACACAAACACTTTCAATCCTCCTTAGGTCCGAGAGCTTTATGCTTTTATTTGTGTCAACTTTCATCCGAGTTTCTGGAAAGGCCACTTGGATGTTGTTCTGTCTGTCTGGCTTTGACATCAACCTCTGACTCATGTCCAGACATGTCATCAGTCTCCAGCTCCGTTGATTTCTTTCTACTCACCAAAGAGGGTGTTGTTGGGTTTTTTTTTTTACTGCTCTCCTCCTTTTCACTCCGTATCTAAGCGTTTGTTTTTAAGGTCCATGTGTGAGTAGATGCAGTATAATTAGGTGGTGATGTAACAACTTAATGACAGTGTGCAGGCAGGGTCACCTGGACGACCCTGGGAACCTGTCACTCCTCCACAGATGAAAGAGGCAGAGGACCTGGGAAAGCTCATCCCTCTTATCAGAGCAGGAACACACACAGACACCCAGATACACAGCAACACTTGGACTCCAGCTGAATATAAACACACATAAATTAGCCCCTCAAGCACACATATATCAAACTAGAACGCTTCTAATCTCAAGCCAGGTTTTGACTGTTAGTTTAGCTTTGAATGTCTTTCATTTTTGGGGGTAAAAAAAAACCTTCACACCACAACACTCCTCTCTTCCTGTCCACACTCAGTCACCTGTTTGACAAGTTTCTGTTTGTTCCTGCCAGAAGTCCCATATACATGATATTTAATGTTCTCTAGAATATACACTGTGCTAAAAAGTCTTGCATAAACTTGCAAGTTTTAGTTTTTCTCTTAAGGAGTTTAGAATTTGGTCTTAGTCGGTTTTCATGCTCTGTGGAGGGGGAGGAGGTCTTTCAAAGATTGTTTTCCTTGAAACTTTAGATGCTTTTTCACACAGTTTTAGACCAGCCCTTGCAGCTGACGACATCATATTGTGCTTAAAAATGTAGGAAACCAAACAAGACAAGTTCTCCAAAATTAATAATTTCAGAAATTCATGTCTTTAATAAATAGACAAATATACTCCTAGCAAAAACCTAACCTGCTTCAGGGGTCACCACAGCACATGAACATTTGGCAATTTGTTTTACGCAGGATGCCTTTCCACAACCTGGGCTCGAACCTTCAACCTCAGGATCACAAGCCAAGAGTACTGAGCACCAATCTACCACGGCCTCACAGGATCTGGACAAAACTGATGCTTTTTATTACTTTTTGTTGTTGTTTTCAAGTTTTCAATCACGAGCACAGAGCAACCTCAGGAGCAACTTTAGCCAAATCTCCCACTAACATTAGCTTTGTGCTCCTTTAGTCAATGTGTCAATGGTCCTATTTGCTGCAGTTTGCATGTTTACATCCAAAGGCATCACTAACAGTTATTTCCCACAACCTGTTTCATCTCGTCTTTCTAAAACACCAAGATGAAATGAGCAGCACCTCTGAGTCAGCAGCAAAGGTAATCTGAGAGCAGGATTTAAACGAAGGCAGAACGGCCCAGACAAAAACAGCACATTTTAGAGCACGAAATGTACGACATTAAAATGTGATCAATTTAATAAAGCTGCAGAATTCAGTAAAGGGGATATTGTTCTCTTTTACTGGAATGTTTCTCGTGGCTTTGTTTACTCATCATCATTTCCAGCATCATGTCATCCCAGCATAGTTGAGTTTTGCCCAGAGCAAGCTGTAGTCGTGTGAAAAATTCAGGCGGTTGAAGATATCATTTTTCTGCATGTTTCAGCTGGTCCAGCAAGATGTCGGAGAGGATTCAGTCTCAAACACGACAACAGACACACGCATACCTGGAAGCAAAGAGGCAGCCATGGAAAAAGAAACAGTGGAAAGAAAAATTTGATATAAATAGAAAGATTTAAGATGACAACAACTGGATCATTTTTATCCCCTTCAACACTTTTTTGTGCAGAAAACTAAATCAAGCCCTTTAATAACAGGCAATGTTAAAGTTATTGAAAGCAGCACAGTACAGAAGAGCATGGACAGCACCATTATTCAACTGGTATATTGCTTTTTGACCTTTGAGGCATTGGTCACTATGTCACAAAACGGTTCAATGGTTACTGTCAGCGGTGGCTCCAGAAACTTGTAATATTGTGCTTATGCATAAATGACGCTGTGATCAAATGAGTGAGACAGCAGTCCAAATTGTTGACGCTCAATTAAAAGGGAGCTCATATAAAAAAATGAAGTGGACATGCTGAGTTGCAGTCACGTCACTGGACCTAAACATACAAACTATTGTCAAAAAAAATGTTTGTTCCTTTTACAACACCATTAAATACAACTGTTACCCAACTATACACTTTGCAAACCACTCCTTTGTGCTCAGTCCAGTAATTCACTAACAACAGAGCAAGATCTGAAGAGTTTGGAGGGAAACCTCAGAGCTACAGACTCACTGGTGGACATCAAAAGACACCACAAGGCTTGAGAAATTTTGCAGACATATTGAAAAAGGGCTGTCATTTGTGTCTGCGCTGGGGCCAAAGAGGATGACCATAAGTCTTTCAACTCTGCTCCTCAAGGCTTTTTTGTTGTTATTTTAAAGAGGCAGGCACTCTAACAGCACAAGCCTGAAGAGCTACTCTTGTGGCTAATTGAGGGACCCTCCATGTCAGGACCACCAAAAGAATCTCATTAGACTATGGACTGAAAAAAATTGTACACTTAAGGTTTTATTTGTTCTGGGGAACTTTTCAGAAACCTGACTTGAAAGATGCCGCCCTGAAAAAGTT